CTGATGGCTCAGAGCCTGGAGCCTGCTTCCGATTCTGTGTCTCCCTCTCTCTCTGCCCCTCCCCCGTTCATGCTCTGTCTCTCTCTGTCTCAAAAATAAATAAACTTTAAAATAAAAAAATTAATTAATTAATTAATTAAAATTAAAATAATAGGGGCACCTGGGTGGCTCAGTCAGTTAAGCATCCGACTTCAGCTCAGGTCACGATCTCACGGTTTGTGAGTTTGAGCCCCACATCAGCTCAGGGCCTGGAGCCTGCTTCCGATTCTGTGTCTCCCTCCCTCTGCCCCCCTCCCTTGCTCACACTGTCTCTCTCTTTCTCAAAAACAAATAAACATGTTTAAAAAATTAACAGATAAATAACATAAAATAATAAATACATAAATAAATAAAAATAAAGGATTTGTAGCAACATGGAAATAGACTTAGTGTATAAAGAGTCTTCCCTAGAGTCACAATACTCAATATTAAAAGATGACAGCTGTGAAGTCCTAGCCTTCTGCTGTGATGACACAGATGAATCCAAATACCAAAGATAAAAGTGGTGATCGCAAGGAATAGCTTCGGATGAATGCATAATTATCCTAAATAAGTGTGAAACTCCTCAGCATTTTTTACCATGAGTGGACACTGCTACTTTCCAAGTTGCCATTAAAAAAAATCACTTTCAGGGGCGCCTGGGTGGCTCAGTCGGTTGAGCATCCGATTTCCGCTCGGGTCATGATCTCGTGGTTTGTGAGTTCAAGCCCCGGGTCGGGCTCTGTGCTGCCAGCCCGGAACCTGGAGCCTGCTTTGGAGTCTGTGTCTCCCTCTCTCTCTGCCCCTCCCCTGCTCACGCTCTGTCCCTCTCTCTCTCTGTCAAAAATAAATAAACATTAGAAACAAATTTTTTTAATAAAAAATTCACTTTCAGAAGCATGTGTCTACAGCAAGAAAGAGTAATCAGCAATTAATAACCGTACTCTTGTGTACATCTATATTCTCAAGACTAATGATTTAATTGAGGATGCCTTCCTCAAAAGTGAAACAACATGAACATAGACAATAAGACCTGCTTCCTGCCGTGAACCTCCAAATACAATGATAATGAAAAAATAAAAGCAATTCAACAGGAAAAAACTATATGATGATGAAATGTAAGGAGATGCCATTTACAGGTCTGTGAGCAGACAGGGATTCTTAAAAAACAATTCTAGAAAATAGACATCAAAAACACACTTCATAATTTTACTAATGTTTTTTCTGATACGAACAATAACCAGAATTTACCTGGGAGGTTTCTCATACCTATGATGTAATTTTTAAAAAAGATACGGAAACATCACGCCATAATGGTATCTCCTCTCTTTCACACTCTACACAAGTCAAGAAGAAACATGTGCTTTGCACAATGAAGGATACAAAATAGGCATAAGACATAGTCCCTGTTCTCAAGGAGATTCCAATTCCGTGCTCAAACAGTCTGGAGGAGGCTTAGAAAATACACTGAGTAGGCAGAACAGGGGCCCAACCCCCAAGGTCAGTTTACCCTTGATAGACAAGGACATACGTCACTATTAAAGTTTTCTAATTAGAAGAATGACGGGCGCCTGGGTGGCTCAGTCGGTTGAGTGTCCGGCTTCAGCTCAGGTCGTGATCTCACGGTTCATGAGTTCAAGCCCCTCATCAGGCTCTCTGCTGTCAGCACGGAGCCTGCTTCAGATCCTCTGTCTCCCTCTCTCTCTGCCCCTCCCCTGGTCGCTCTTTCTCTCTCTCTCTCAAAAATAAACATTTAATTAGAAGAATGATACAATCACATTAGTCCCTTGTTTAAACTCCCTGAAGTTCCTATGGCTCCTCTAATAAGATCTAAATTCTTTAATATAGTTTCTAAGACCCTTGTAAGATCTGACCCCTCCTTACCTCTCTAACATCACTATTGTCTCCCAGAGCCCCCCTCCCTCTAATGCCATCCTAAGCTTCTCTGTGTTCTTTGAAGATGTCAAATTCCTTCCTATGTCAAGACTTCTGAACACACTGTCACCTCTGCTTGGAACAGTTGACCACCCACCTCTTCTTTAACATCATTTCTTTCATGAAGCTCATCCAACTAATAATTGCTTGTCTCCCTGCATTAGAATATAAGGTCCACAAAAACATGGGACCCCTATGTCTTCTTCACCCCTATGTCCCCAGCACCCGGCATAGTGTCTTGTGCAGTGTAAGCATTCTATAAATATGTGTTGACATATTAAAATTAATCTTGGACCGAATTGCATTGATATAATGAAAAAAAAAAACGACAGAAGTTCACCATCAGGTAGTGTGCGGAGTGGGCTAGAAAGAAGAGACTTGGGTCCAGCCAACTGAATAGGAGGCTGTCGGAGCAATTCTGGCATCAGGGAACAAAGGCCTCGACCAAGACCAAAAGCAAGAGTTGGGCAGAATGAACAAAGATAAGAAACTTCCGAAGAAGCACGACTAGGGAAGTTTAATCGGCCATCGGGCACGAAAGGGCCATGTTAAGAATTCCTGACTCGGGAGCTGTCGGCATCGAGCAGGTAAACAAAGCCACAGGACCGAACGGGCTCCGCCAGGGAGGCGGTACAAAGAGGAGACTGAAATGCTGAAGACCGAAGCTTGGATAAAGGCTAGAGGTAGGTGACAGGATAGGGGAAGGGAAGCAAAAGAAAGCCCAGAGGGGCACAGGGAACATGACTCAAATCACACTGAGAGACTTCCACAGAATAGGTGTTGGGGAGTGAGCTGCAGAATTCGGGGGGAGGGTGACAGACGACACCGCAAACGGTGGAGCCAACCAATGGGAGAAGATTTCTGCCCGCAGTGTGACCATCCGGGATTCCACCCACCTTCGGAAAGAAGCTGTTGTAATACGAGGCTTCCAGAAAAAAAGCAACCGGAGTCAAAGTGCTAGGTAATGAAGAAAACAGAAGCCTGAAATTACCGTGCTCAACACAGCCAACTCCATATCACCCAAATATAAAAGCCAGTCAGTCCCTGGGAGAGAAATCCAAAACAGAAGACATGAGGGGTGTAGAATGTCCAGTGGCTGAGAGACGAGAGGAAGTCTGCACAGCCTTCTGTGTACCGAGGAGTTGAGACCGGCAGCTCATGGGTAATACGGTATCAAAAAGGAGCCGCCACCGAGATGCCTTGGTTTCTCCGGTGACATTTACACCTGTCTCAGGGCTTTGATTTCTTTTTAAGTTTATTTCTTTTTACAGAGAGAGAGAGTGCACACGCACACAGGAGAGAGGCAGAGAGAGAGAGAGAGAGAGAGAGAGAGAGAGAGAGAATCCCAAGCAGGCTCCAGGCTATCAGCACAGAGCCTGTCATGGGGCTCGATCCCATGAACTGTGAGATCGCGACCTGAGCCGAAACCAAGAATTGGACACTTAACCAACTGAGCCACCCAGGCGCCTCCTCGGCTTGGATTTCTGACAAGTTTCCACTGTGGATTTTTACACATTTGTTGAACCTGAGACTTAAAATCCGAGACAGTAACTTAAAATTTGTCAAAATGACCTGTGACTTGAGCTAAAACTAGAACTTAAAAATGAAGAAAAAGTATGGGGTGCCCGGATGGCTCAGTCGGTTGACGAGCATCCGACCGGCTCAGGTCATGATCTCACAGTTTGTGAGTTCCAGTCCCACATCGGGCTTGCTGCTGTCAGCATGGAGCCTGCTTTGGATCCTCTGTCCCCCTCTCCCTCTGCCCCTCCCCCGCTTGTGCGCGCGCGCCCTCTCTCTCTCTCTCTCTCTCTCAAAAATAAGTACAACATTTTTTTTTTTTTAAGTGAAGCAGGTAGATGGGTGCCTGGTTGGCTCAGTCATAAGAGCATGCAACTCTTTTTTAACTTTTTAATGTTTATTCACTTTTGAGAGAGAGAGACAGAGCGCAAGTGGGGGAGGGGGAGGGACAGAGAGAGGGAAACACAGAATCCGAAGCAGGCTCGGGGCTCCGAGCTGTCAGTATAGTGGACACACTGATGATTAGAACCCACAAACCATGAGATCATAACCTGAGACGAAGTCAGAAACCCAACTGACTGAGCCACCCAGGCGCCCCAAGAGCTTGTGACGCTTGACCTCGGGGTTGTGAGTTCAAGCCCCACATTGGGTATCGAGATTACTTAAAAATAACATCTAAAAAAAGAAAATATAAAATAATAAACTCTTTTTTTTAAAAACGTGAGGCAGGGGCGCCTGCGTGGCGCAGTCGGTTAAGCGTCCGACTTCAGCCAGGTCACGATCTCGCGGTCTGTGAGTTCGAGCCCCGCGTCATGGCTCAGAGCCTGGACCCTGTTTCCGATTCTGTGTCTCCCTCCCTCTCTGCCCCTTCCCCGTTCATGCTCTGTCTCTCTCTGTCCCAAAAATAAATAAACGTTGAAAAAAAAATTTAAAAAAAAAAAAAAAAAAAACGTGAGGCAGATAGAGATGGAACACTGCCTCACTTGTACTGAAAAGGGTTCCAAGCTCTCTGACCTCATAATTTCCTTAACCGGATCATTTTATAAACCACTCCATTTTGTCACATACTTCAACAAGCCTTCATCTACAGAAAGGCTGCTGTCACATCTTGAACCCAAATAACAACCCCAAATGAGTAATCCTGGGGAGTATACATCTTGTACCTCACATCTAATTGCTTATATGGCCACACATTTGCTTCATCTACTTTTGCTAATTTAAAAGTTATTCAAGTCAGTTCATTTTTATGCTTGGAGGCTATTCAAAGGTGATTACACATAACCCTTTATGTGCTTTGGAACACATCCCTACTGTTTAGAAACATTCACAAGGGACAATCTTGAAGCTAAGTACATCAGGTCCCTCCGGTTCCCCAGGCTTTACAATCTTTTATCCCCAAGGCATAAAAATGAACATGATGACTTTGTTCCCTATTCCTCCCATTAGTCGTTAATTGATGCTTATCACATTATGGCTATCTCCAAGTCTCTTCAGAGAGTATGAAATGCATGAAGTCATTCTGTGGTTACCTGTGAAAAGGAAGAAAATCAGGACCATGACCATTGTGTACCCAAAATACAACACGGCGCTTGCCGTGCCTGTGATTTGAAGTTTGGTGAAGTAATGAACTGTATATATCAGAAGATAAACAGCTGTAAAACTGCTAGTGAAAAAGGCTCTCCACCACCAGTGATAATCCTGCAAAAAGAAGTAGAAAAAATTCACTTTAGGTGAAACCTAACTCTAAACGGGTTAGCAATTATTGTGATAACAAACCACATGAAACAGGCTCCATTAGATTATGGATTAGAAGAAATCCAAGGGGAAGTTTTATAAGAAACCGTCAGACTAATGTACGTTCTGCTTGGGGTGCCTTAACATTGATAAACTCCCTGTTTCCAGGGGGACCACGTGTGCCCTCGGGGACCGTACTTGTAATGCACGCATCCTTTCTCTCATGACACTGCCTCAGCCTTGGAAGGCTTTCGGGTCAGCTTCAATTTACTGGCAGGAGCTGGGCCTGAATTGATGTTTCGGGCCAGGTAGACAAAGGTTAGTACAGAAACTGCATATAGAGCTTTATGGTGAATGGGATTTGTCTCACCCAGCTGAATTTAGGACCCATGGGGGCATGACTGAGGTCAATACACAGGTTTGCCTCACCCTTCCCCATGGCTCCAACTGATGCTCATTTTACTGTAAAGGCACTGTGTTCAAGGGCCAAGGGAACCTACAGTGCAGAAAAGAGTTAACATAGCAGGTCTGAAGTTGCTATCTTTAGAAGGGCCTGCTTGCAAGGTTGGCCCTTGGCTTATATCTGAGAATTCGGCATTTAATCATCCCCTGACTGATAAGACGTGTTGGCTATACCTAGGCCGTACAAACAGTGTGATTTATGGCGAACACATGCTTTCCTTTTGGGGGTCTGGAATTGTTGTAATTGCTAGGCAGAGGGTGCCTATGTGACCAGCTCCCAGTAAAAACCTTGGATGTGAAGTCTCTAATGGGCTTCCCTGGGCAGAAACATTGCACATATATGACTATATTTTTCATCGCTGAAAAAGGGAACGTAATTGGTGTGTCCCCTCATGGAAAAAAAAAAAGCACAGAAGACTAGACGTGGATTTCTCCAGGTTCCACCTGTGTCTTTTCCCCTTGCTGATCCTGTTGTGTGTCCTCTGGCTATATTAAGCCCTAGCCAGGCGTACATCTGTGTGCTGAGTCCCCCGAGTCTTTCCAGTGAACCACCAGACATGTGGGTGGTCTTGGGGGCCTTCAAAACACTTCTAAGAAACAGAAATATACACATCATCTGCCTGTGAGTATATACTTCATGCACGATTGTTGCGGGTTTTCTGTGACAAAAAATACACCGTAGAACTGAGAAGCTGAGTATAATATATACAAAATTCTAATTTTTTCACCCTTATACTTGTAGCTCAAGAAGAAAATGCTCTAAGAACATCATGTATATGATCCTCATTCCCAAAACTCTCTATTGTTCCGTTTAGAGAGTCACATTTAACTACCAAAACAAGAGGGATTTAGGGGATTTAAGAAAATAATGTTCACTACCACCTTAGTTACCCAGAAGGACATCAGAAACAAAGTGGGGGTACAGTGGAGTAAACAAAACTACTTCTGCCCATGGTAACCAAAAGTAAGAGAAAAGGCCTTTAGCAGCAATCCCAAACCCATAAAATGCAATCCTGGCCGAAGCTGTGAAAACTTTAATTGTCAGAAAAAAAAAACAACAAAACACCAATTGAGCCAGATCTTTTGTATGTCTAAATATCAAATCCGTTCCCTGCTTTTTTTCTATGTTAACTGAATATTATGCAGCAATTATAGTAACTAGCCGGAGAGAAATTGCTTTCTGTTTAGCTTTTCCATCAAAGTAGCATTAACTTTCCATCAAAGCTGCATCAAAATCAACATGTGTCATCAGGAAAACACAGTATGAAACTGATCCCAAGTTGTAGAAACCAGGTAGTTAACATGTGCTTCAATTCCTTTCTCAACAGAGGTTTCCACTTCCAATAGTGCAAGTTTGGGAAGGAGAAGATGCATTCGTTTCTTAGGTCTTTACCTCAGCACACAAGTAGAAATAACACAGCAGAACCGAAGCTTCTGAGCAGGTAATCAGGAGAATTATAAAGACCAAGAAAAGGAAGCCAAACATGAAGTACATTTGATGAGACCTGAAAATAAAAATGATAGCCTTAAAATTAACTTCACAATACACAGAAAGACCATTCCAAATGAATACAAGAGACGGTCACGTTTGTCTAACCTGAGAGATTCACTCCAGACCTTCATCGATCCATCCAACATCCAAAAACCATTCCCTGACCGACCAATGTGGCTGCAGAGTTTGGCCTGATCTCCTCCAGTACGAATCCGTGTTCCCACGTACCCCTATTTCTCTGCTCGTGCAATTCAGTTTTCACTAAAGAACCATCAGTATCTCTATCATTTCCTTCATGCACATTTTATGGTTGTTTTGTTTTTTTAGAGAGAGAGAGAAAGCAAGCGGTGGAGAGGGGCAGAGGGAGAGAGAGACAGAATCATAAGCAGGCTTAGCCTGACACAGGGCTCGATCGCACGACCCTGCGATCATGACCTGATCCAAAATCAAGAGTCGGACGCTTAACGGACTGAGCCCCGCAGGCGCCCCTCTTCACGCACACTTTAAGCCATGCTTTCTTTTTAGCAATGGAAGGTTATAAATGCCATAAATATCAGCAAATACATTATACAACAACAACAAAAAAAAACCCACAGAGCCAGGGGCACCTGGGTAGCTCAGTCAGTTGGGTATCTGACTTCGGCTCAGGAAATGATCTTGCAGTCCATGGGTTCGAGGCCCGCAACGGGCTCTTTGCTGACAGCTCAGAGCCTGGAGCCTGCTTCATATTCTGTGTCTCCTTCTCTCTCTGCCCTTTCCCTGCTCGCTTGCTCTCTGCCTGCCTCTCTCTCTCTCTCTCTCTCTCGAAGATAAATAAGCGTCAAAAAATTTTTTAAATCTCGTGTACAGTATATACCTGGCTGCAAGGACGAAGAATGGGGGTTGGGGAGCATCATGTATATAGATAATAAGTATATACAATGTTGTACACAGCAAGCACCCTCTTTTTCATTGAAACAAAAGTTAACTTGTCCAAAGAAGCTTTTAGTTTTCACTTTAAAATTATCCCATCAAAAACATCTGGAAAATACAGTTACATAATCTATTTTGCAGCATGTTAAATATTTCGTTGCTGACAAGGTAACAGATTTTACTGCTTATCTTTTAAACCAATTTGCCACAATGCTGTTTAAAAAGTGAGCAATTAATGTGCATGATTAAACCTCACTTTTGAGGACTTGAAAGCTTCGTCTGAAAGATTGCTTTGGGATGAAAGTGTTAGAAATACACACAGCTGGCTACTCCATTTGATTTTATGGGGCCTTTGCCCCATCTCCAAAACTCCCTCTGCAGCGACACCCCACTTGCCCAGCTCCTGAAACCAGAATGCAGTCAAGAATCAGGAATTAAGGAAAAAGGGACTGGGAGAAACTGGAGTCCCGGACCTGGAGCTTTGCAAGTAAAAACTGTCACACTTTGGAAAGCCTGGGTTCTCACCTTACGTGCGTTTCTGTCTTGGTTACCAGAATTCTTAAAAAAAATTTTTTTTAATATGTATTTATTTTTGAGAGAGACAGAGACAGAGCATGAACAGGAGAGGGCAGAGAGAAAGGGAAAGACAGAACCCAAAGCAGGCTCCAGGCTCTGAGCTGTCAGCACAGAGCCCGTCGTGGGGCTCAAACCCACGGACCGTGAGATCATGACCTGAACCGAAGTCGGTCACTCAACAGCCTGAGCCACCCAGGCGCCCCTTGGTTATCAGAATTCTTTTTTTAGAGATTTTTTTTAATGTTTATTTATTTTTGAGAGAGAGAGAGAGAGAGAGAGAGACAGAGCGTGAGCGGGGCAGAGAGAGAGGGAGACAGAATCCGAAGCAGGCTCCAGACCCTGAGTTGTCAGCACAGAGCCCGATGTGGGGCTCGAACTCGTGAACCGCGAGATCGTGACCTGAGCCGAAGTCGGACGCTTAACCGACTGAGCCACCCAGGAGCCCCGGCTATCAGAATTCTTAAACCCCAACAGATTCAAAGCAGCAGATAAAACGAGGAAAGCTGTGAGGAAAGAGCAGGCATCCTGACACCAGAACTAACAGTTGACAGAAAGGAGAGCCGAAAAACATGACTTACAGCTCCAAGTAAGTGTTTGAAGCTGTAAGTCTTCAAAGTATTTTTAGCAGAGGAACTCTGAACTCTTGCACGGAAGGTCGGTATGGAAAAGAGATACACATCACGGCTGCCTCTTCCGGTCTTTAGGTGCCTCCTTCCAAGGGACACCCCCCCCCCGCCCCACCCCCTGCAAAGGCTCGGAGAAGTGTGGTGTGAGCCAACTTTGTAAGTCATGTGGAAAGGCTTAAAGACAGGTTACTGCTTTTAAAAAAGGAAACCTGCGTAGAAATTTCCATCAAAAACTGTCTTTAAAAACTTGTGAATTAAGTCTCAGTTCCCTAGGAAGTCCCCCCCCACCCCAGGGGTCAGAGGGCTATTTCCTGGATAAAACCAGAGGCAAATGAAGTTTTGCCATACCCAGACTCTAACCTCCTTGAAATACAGGAAACTTCGTTTATCAACAATTAAGATGTTTTGAGGTTGTGACGATACCGCACTCACCAAATACTGTTCAGAATGAGAAAGAGTTGAATGAAAACACAGCCAAAAGGTAAAATGCCACCGATCATGATGCCAAACAGTGGTTTCGTAAAAAAACTCTGCCGAGGAATGTGACGGGGAATCTGGTTCGTGCAAACTGGAAACCTAAACTGCTCAAAGAGAAATCAAGTGAAAATCAGAATGACATGAAATTGAAGTGAATTTATAGACATATAATCACAAGACAGAATCCTGAATCGGAACTGGACGCAGAACAGTCATGTGGGCAGAGGCTAGACCGACACTGTGCTAGAGAAAGATAATGCAAGCCACGTAGGCAGTTTTAAATGTTTTAGAAGCCGCATTTTAAAGCGTAAAAAGAAACAGGCGGAATTAATCTGTGAATCCATTTCATCGGATCTAACAAATGTTCTCAGTTGCGTGTGTCATTGCTGTAAGAAGGACTCAGTAGGGGCACCTGGGAGGCTCAGTCTTTTCAACGCTCGCTCTCTCTCTCTCTCTCTCTCAAAAATAAATACACATTTGGCCGCTGTTGTTCTGTCTGCAATCCACTGTGGATTTTCCACTTCCTCACAGCACATCCCAGTTTGCAAGTAGCCACATTTCAGGCCCTCAAAAATCACACGTGGCCAGTGGCCACCACACGAGAAAGCACACAGCTAGGCAACGAGGATGTTTATCATTTCCTGTCAGTTTCGAGGGAGAGACCGGACAAGATTTAGTGGTGCCTATTCCAATATGAACGAATACATGTCAAAAAGTCGTCTCAGAATTTGTCTCACGCATTTCCCTTAAAATCTCTCGGTAGTTTTCAGACATTTTTTCCTTTTTTCTGCTCTGTGCGGACCTCCAGCTTCCGTTTTGTGTTGTCTGATTTCTCCCTTTGCGCACAGTGTGCAAACTCACACTATGTCTTTATACATTCCTTTTGCAGAGTAGTCTTTTCAGTGTCCTGCTCCTTTGCCCTGTATGTAGAATAAGCTAACTTCAAATCTATAAACTCAACAGTTCCATTTTCAGACTGTACCTTAGCTTTCTTCCCCCGCTGTCTACTTTTCTGACTCGGTTAAAGTCAGCCTTCCTACTACTATATACCCTTTTAATTTTCTCCAACAGAGACAGAAATTTAAACAACCTATAAAGTGGGGAGTACTTTAAATAACATCTTTTAAAGGGTTACTGTGTTCCATTTTTGTTAATTTTTAAATGTTTTATTCTGGAATGATTATCCCAGGATGCCTGGCTGGCTCAGTCAGAAGAATGTGTGACTCTCGATCCTGGGGTTGTGAGTTCGAGCCCCATGCTGGGTATATAGATTACTTAAAAATAAAATATTTTTAAAAAGGAGTATTCTAGGAGCGCTGGGGTGGCTCAGTCAGTTAGGCGTCCAACTTCGGCTAAGGTCATGACCTCACGGTCTGTGGTTCAAGCCCTGTGTCAGGCTCTGTGCTGACAGCTCAGAGCCTGGAGCCTGCTTCGGATTCTGTGTCTCCCTCTCTCTCTGCCCCTCCCCTGCTCATGCTCGCTCTCTCTCTCTCTCTCTCTCTCTCTCTCAAAAATAAATAAACATTTAAATAAATGAAGAAATAAATAAATAGGATTATTCTTCGTAGTTTTCTCCAATGGTACATTTCACATTCCATGTACAGTAATATACACGTTGAGGTATTATTTCAGACATCAGTCAATGGTCAAAAGCAGTATTTTAGAAATTTACCTTTTTCTTGGCTCCAAAGTACGCACCCACAAATGTTAGGGGTACTGAAATTCCACACCACATTGCAAGAATCCCTATCAGAGTACCGAAGGAGATGGCAGCCGATGAACCTTCCACCCAAAGAATCACGTTCATAAAAAAGAGGTCGGCAAAGACGACACTGGGGAGAAAAAGAGTGATCAGGAAGCAATATGCTTTCGTGAAAATGTTAAACTCATACTTGAGGTGAATATCAGAACGTTCTTTTGGTGAGAAGGATAGAATAAATTATAAGGCTATACCCTAAAAGAATAGTAAACCTCACTGTGGGAAACCAGTCATTGAGCTGGGACTTAAACCCAATACCATATAATAAGATAGCAGTTCATTATAGGACATCATTTCCACATCCTACTCATCTTTGCACCCCTAGAGTCCAGCAGAAAATAAATGAGATGGGGAGTAATATGCCACGGAAAAACTCAATATGCAATAGAGTGAACACAATAAAGACGATGCATAGACTAGGGGCGCCTGGGTGGCTCAGTCGGTTAAGCGTCCGACTCTTGGTTTCGACTCAGGTCACGATCTCATCTCGCGGTTCGTGGGATGGAGTCCGGCATCAGGCTCTGCGCTGACGGTGCGGAGCCTGCTTGGGATTCTCTCTGTCCCTCACCCGTTTGCGTGCTCTCTCTCAAAATAAATAAATAAATAAACTTAAAAAAAAAGAAAATGCATAATAAAAACAGATTTTTTTTTAATTTTGTTGTTATTATTTGAGAGAGAGAGACAAAGAACGTGGGGGGGGGGCAGAGAGAAAGAGAGGGAGAGAGAGAATCCCAAGCAGGCTCCGAGCTGCCTGTGCAGAGCCCGATGTAGGACTTGAGCTCACGAAACCCGCTAGATCACGACCTGAGCAGAAATCAAGGGTCGAACATTTAACCAACCGAGCCACTCAGGCGCCCCTAAAGACAGATTTTAGAATCCTGGACTGAAATAGGCTACAAGCCTCAAGTCCAATAAATGTTCACTTAAAGCAAGAGCTTTAAGTCAATCGCTCAAAATCAACAGGCCAGCTGCTGAATCTACTGGATAAATCACCAGGCAAGCCCAGTTGTCGTGCCCCTGTTTGTCCCAGACAAGTTGGCTCAGTGCTACAGGTGAGTATGGGCAACCATATGGATGTGAGTGTTTCTGAAAGCCTAAAACATGAGGTTGAAAAGGTGGGCGGAGGCTAGATTGTGGAAGGCTTTGAATGGCAGGGTAAGGAATGTGGACGTCCAGAAGCGGCCGGAGGGTTTTTACGCTCAAAGCTGTGAGGTACATAATACAGTCTTCCCGGCAGATGAGTCCACAGCGTGGCAAAGGACAGACCTAAAGGAAGAGAAACTAGAGACCAGGAGACTAGATAAAAAGTGGTAAGAAACAGTATAATGTGGTGATGGTTAAAACCTAAGTGATGGATATGAAACACATGAAGAATTAAGAGGTTTGGTCAAAGATGGTACATGGAAATCACACCTTTGGCTCTGCTCCCTCCTCAAAACTCTGATAAAATTATGGTAAAAGAACTTTAAAAGGGTATGAATACACAAGGGTGGGGGACACAGGAGAGAAGCAACCCATTTTGTAAACCAGACAGCAGAAGGACAAGGAGTAACTGAGTTAGTAGAACAGGGAGACCTGGGATCCCGAGTCGTCCGTAGGGAAAGCTGAGAGGCAACTCCGCTGACACCAAGGAGCTCCAACAAAGGCTCAGGGATTTGTAGCGCCGGGTTCCTCTGGAAGTGGGAGGGAAGGAGTGGCTAAAACCAGGACTGGTTGGAAGTCAGCCTAAGACACTGACAGGGTTGCCGGCTCCCTCCCGACTCTGCAGAGCCAAGGAACTTCCCTTCCTGACCCCAGCAGAAGACTGGAGGTCTAGTCTCTCAGAGAAGGTCCCTGAAGCTCAGAAGAAAATTTTAAAAAGGAAAATCTGTGACTGACATCCTCGGAGAGATTAGAGGAGGCACTGCAACCATGAAGCAAGAGGAATTAGAAATATGACAAGGAGAATTAAAACCTCAGTAAAAGGGTTGGGATATAAAGCTAATGATAGGTCTTAGAAAGCAGCATTAGGGGTGCCTGGGTAGCTCAGCTGGTTAAGCGTCCGACTCTTGGTAACGGCTCAGGTCATGATCTCAAGGCTCGTGGGTTGAGTCCCACGTCAGAAGGAGGATAAGGGGGGGGGGGAAGAGAAGAAGAAATGAAGACGCCCTAAGTGCCCATCGAAGGATGAGTGGATAAAGAAGGTGTGGTGCACATATACATTAGCATATTATTCGGCCTAAAAAGTGAGGAAATCCTACCATTTGCCACAACATGGATGGACCTTGAAGGCATTATGTTGACTGAAATAAGTCAGAGAAAGACAAACACCGTATGATCTTCCTTACACGTGGAATCTAAAACGCAAACAAAAGCAAACCAAACTCCTAGAAGAAGAAAATCACACTGTGGTTTCTGGGGCCAGGGTGGAGGCACGGATTGGGGGAAGGTGGTCAAACTTCCAGTTAGAAGATAAGTACGTCCTGGGGACGTGATGTACAACGTGATGACTACAGCTAACACGGCCGTGTGACAGGGAAGCTAAGAGAGTAAATCCTCAAGAGTTCTCATCATCACAAGGAGAGATTTGTTTTCCTTTTTTTCCCTTTTTCTTTGTATTGTATCTACGTGAGATGACGGACGTGAGACGAACCCTTTGTGGGACTCATTTCACAATATATGTAAATTGAACTGCGATGTATGTAGACTGTTTCTCAACAAAACTGGAGGAAAAAGAAAAAAAACTGAACAGAAGAAAAAAACGAAAGAAAGGAAAATTAGATGGACAACCCAGGCACGTGCAAAATAGGAGTTACTTGAATAGACAGAGTTCTTTTTTAATTTTTTTTTTAATGTTTATTCTCGAGAGAGACAGAGACAGAGACAGAGACAGAGTGTGAGTGGGGGAGGGTCAGAGAGAGAGGGAGACACAGAATCGGAAGCGGGCTCCAGGCTGTCAGCACAGAGCCTGATGCGGGGCTCGAACTCACATACCGTGAGGTCATGATCCGAGCCGAAGTCGGACGCTTAACTGACTGAGCCACCCAGGCGCCCCTAGACAGAGTTCTTAATGTCTTTTAGGGATATTAAATAATTCCTCAAGGTCAGCCAGCTGATAAGAGGCAGAGCTAGGATTCGAATTCACGTGTGTGTGTGATTCTTTAAGGGCAAGCTGTTTCCATCTCACTATGCTATACTAAAGCCTCTATGGTGGGGACCTCCCCCCACCACCAATCGGGTGTATCTTCTCTTCCCCCAGACATTTAGTCAAAGACCAGAGAGAGGGAACATGGTAACATCCACATTATGAGGCACCAGGTAAGGCTTTGAGGTCTCCCGTCGAGGGAATCTCTGGTTTAGTCCTGTAGTTGGAAGTTCTCTCAAGGTCCATTCCAATTCTAGGATTTAATGCTGCCTTCCAATTTCTGATTCGGGATCATTTTTTTTTTTTTTTTTTTTTGGATGTTCCTCATCTCTCATGATAAACCGACTTCAGCCATTTGCTCCTTCATTTTACTGTTTCTGCCTCACCTCCCCCCCGCCACCTTGTGTGTGCGATCTCTTCTGCGTACTAAATCTTTGTCGGTAGGGATGTTGTGCTTTTTCAAGGCTCATACTTTGCCCCTGCTGGAGCTGTGGTTTTGAACCCTTTCAAACAACAACAAATACAACCACAGTAAACCTCCACCTTAGGTCTCATTGGTTTCTGGCATCTTAATAAGGGAGGCTGGTTTCCCATGATTTAACCATACTTCTTCAAATGTTTCTTAATACCTTTCTGCTCTAATGAATTTGTTTAGCCACAGTATTCCTCTGCCAAATTTCCTAGCTTTTGAGAGATTCATTTCAGCCGTTATCATTCCATGGCCAGAAAAAATTACTTCTCACTTGACAAATCATAACCTCCCTTCTTATACATAAACTCAATTAACCTGTCTCAACGATTTCCCTTTTGAAAGTACACTCTAGAATGTTAATATGTGTTTAACAATTCTGTAACTGCCCTTCAGTTTCAAGTTTTTATATTCTAAATAGTTCTTCCTTTGTTGGTCTCTAATTATTTCTAGACCTTTTCATGGAATCTTAAACAGCAAAACTCAAAGGAAACTTGAGAGGTCATCTGGGTTCATCTCCTACCTGAAACATTTATTCACACACTCATCAAACATTTATTGAGTACCTATGTGTTAGGCCCTGGTGTTCAAAGATAAATAAAAATCTTTGCTCTGCAAAGCTCAGTCTAGTGGGGGACAGAGATAAACAAATAAATTACAACACGACACGGAAAATGCTACGGCAGATGATAAACACAGAGCAGTAGGAACACAGAAGAAAAGAGTGGCCAAAAATACTTTATAGCTCACAAAACAATTTCACAATCCATTAGTTCATTTATTTCTCTGAACGACTCTGTGACACAGGCATCACAGGCAAGGAAATGGACAATCAGGAAGGGGATAGGACTTCCCCAAAGTCACTTAGCTAATACTGACTGCCTAATATTAAGTGCTGGAATTCAGACTTGCTTCTTCTAATTGTTAAGTTTGGGTGCATGACCATCAAACTATGCTGCCTCTTCTTTTTCCTTCCTACCACTTTTGGGGTTACATGAAGGAAACGTATGTGGTTTAATAATCTTACTTTCTTCCATTTCTTCTAGGGAGCATAAGTGTTCATTAGTCTAAATGCTTCTCCTCTTAGATGTAAAGCCTCATTTTTTTTTTAAATAATAAATTTGAAGCCAGTTCTACACTGCCCATTTATGGCACTGGATCAGCTACTCACACATTTATATGCTGCGAGGCGCTGAACTTCTCTTTCAACCTACTACTTTGTAAGAAATAAGAATGCCAGTACCTTACGATTTTCTCTCCCATCGACCTAAGAGGGCCCCTAAACCACTTGAGGGAAATCTATCCTTTGTATCATGCCTGTTTACTGCTTTAAAACTGCATTCAGGGGTGCCTGGGTGGCTCAGTCAGTTGAGCGTCCGACTCCTGATTTCGGCTCAGGTCATGATCCCAGGGTCATGGGATCGAGCCCCTCATTGGGCTCTCCACCGAGTGTGGAGCCTGCTTAAGATGCTCTCTCTCCCCCCTTCTGTCCCTCTCCCCCACTCACACTCTCTCTCTAAAATACAATTTAAAAAATTTAAAAATGTTTAATTGCATTTAGTTCTACTAACAGAACTAGGAAACTGAATCTGTTTTGCACTTTTTTTTTTTAATTTTTTTTTTCAAC